TTGGTTTTCTGTAAAGGATATGCAGTTGAAAGCGGGAAAGATCGGAGGTTGAAGGGCAATGCAGATTAGAGCATCTACATGCATTACTACGTAGAGCTAGTACTATGAAGTAGTTCAAATTTGAGGAGAATTGTGGTGGAATACACCGAGGCTTCGACGCGATAATTGGTCGTAGATGCATTTACAATACCGCTACGACAAGAGATATTACAGTAGATGTAGAGTGCTGTTGGCACAGCAGTGCGAGTCGATGGCTGTTGGTTTGTCAAGGAAATGTGCATGTTGAAGTTGTCCGAATGCAATCCGTTGATTGGCTGGAAACGCTTCAATTGAAGCGGCGCGATTCGCCAAAAAAATGTAGCTCCAATTCAGTAGTTTAGTGCCGCAGTTTGAAGACACACTCAGGACACAATTGATGGACCATAAAATGTAGGTGTCTCGGTGGGAAGCGTGTCGCTGTCGCCGAAACACAGAAGTCCCTGGAACGGCCAACGTTTGTGACTGTCCTGTAAGCGAAATCGATTGCGCACACTTGTCCCTTTTAAGTACGATTCAATATTCACCAATCGCGCGTGCTTTTGATTGACGAAAGTTGAAGCGATGATATCCTTCGCTTTCATTGGCTCCTGTCGACGTATCGTAGCCCCACATTGATCCTACGTGGCAAGGGGTACGTACCCCATCAAGATCTGGAGCGGACCCAGGTTCACTCTCGAATCGACGGGATCACTCACACTCTTTCCTCTCCAACACCAGAATGCTCGCTCGCTCGCTCTTCTCCGGCCGTCGCGCTTTGCTGCGCAATGCCCGCTCGCTCCACATTGCTAAGGACATGACTGAGCTCATCGGCAACACGCCGCTGGTCTACTTGAACCACGTGACCGAAGGATGTCACGCCAAGATTGCTGTTAAGTGCGAGTTCATGGAGCCATGCGCCTCTGTGAAGGACCGCATTGGTCTGAGTATGATCTTGGACGCCGAGAAGTCCGGCCGTCTGGACAAGGAAACGCACATCATCGAGCCCACGTCGGGCAATACCGGTATCGGACTGGCCTTCGCGTCCGCTGTGCGTGGCTACAAGTTGACGCTGGTTATGCCCGACACGATGTCGATGGAGCGTCGTATCCTGCTTAAATCGTTCGGCTGCAACGTGGTGCTCACTCCTGGTGCTAAGGGCATGACCGGAGCTGTGGCCAAGGCGGAGGACTTGGTCAAGAAGGAGGCCGGCAAGGCGCTGACGCTCGGCCAGTTCGACAACCCGGCCAACCCCAAGATCCACTTCGAGACGACCGGCCCGGAGGTTTGGCGTGACACTGACGGACAGGTGGACATCTTTGTCTCCGGTGTGGGCACGGGTGGCACTTTGACGGGCACGGCCCGCTACTTGAAGCCCAAGAAGTCCAGTATCAAGATCGTGGCCGTCGAGCCCGAGGAGAGCCCCGTGCTCTCGAGTGGCAACCCGGCGCCCCACAAGATTCAGGGCATTGGCGCTGGCTTCGTGCCGCGAGTGCTGGAGCGTGACCTGATCGACGAAGTTATCACGGCCAGCAGTCCGGACGCCTTCGCCATGGCCAAGCGCCTGGCTCTGGAGGAGGGAATCCTCGTTGGTCCGTCGTCCGGTGCCGCGGTGGTGGCCAGTCTGGAGCTGGCCAAGCGCCCGGAGAACAAGGACAAGCTCATCGTGACGATCTTGCCCAGCTTCGGTGAGCGCTACCTGTCGTC